TTTTTTTTCCTTTTAAACATTTTTTGTTTTTTTTTAGTCTTCCTTATGTTCTTTGTTGTATTTCTTATAGTAGTTACGTTACCTTTTTCATCCCTAGTATTACTTGTGCCATATCTTTTGTCTCAATGTCACCAGAGACATTCCGATTTTATTAACTTTGACAAAGGAGCAGCTTTGAGCTTTATTGTCTCTAGTATAGCAATATTTTGTTGTTAATTTTCACATTTACCCTTGGTTTTCCTTCCTTCAGTTTTCTCTGGCTTTCCTTTATTATTCTTTTTCTAATTCTTGTTTAGCTCATTAATTTTTAGAGTATTTTTGATTATAAGCATGTTAAGGCTATGCAGTTTCCTCTAACTAGTATTTTAGTTGTACTCCATAGATTTTGATATGGAAACTTGTTAGTCATCCCACATATTTTAAAATTCCTCTTATTTTTTATTTCTTCTATGAATGATGAGTTACTTAGAAATGTGTATTTTAGTTTCTAAAAGTTAGTTTTTTTAACATCAGAAATTGTTTTCATTATAATGTTTAAAATAACTCAAAAAATGTATGGAACATATATTGTAAATCATTAAGTCCAGTGACATAGTAAACATCCACAAAACCACTACCCAACCCAGGAAGCAGAACTTCTCTAACAATTTCCATTTTCCTATGTATTCCCCCCTACTCCATCCCATTTCTCCCCAACCCCCCACACCAACTCCTCACTTTTGTTTCAGGGCTGATTTGAGCAATAAGCTTCTTTTTACCCTTGGGGAATGACAAAGACTTGGTTGCAGAAGGTGAAGGAAGAGAGATTCAGCTGTTCTGGAAAAAAGAGAGTTTTGATGTAGAACTCTGTATATACAGGTCTTAGCTCAGAAATTTTGCCTTTGGACTGAAATTTTCTCTAAATTCTTATAGCAGTTTCTCTCTCTTTTCCTCTCTTCTCCCTCAATCCCATGGTGGCGGAGGGGGGTGGGATTGTCAAAAGAATCTGTCTCCAGCAAAAGGCACATAAGCACGAAACACATGTGGTGTCAGGTGGCTCCCTGAGGCTTCTCTGGATCCCAGTGAAAGCAGTGGTTCTCAATCAGGGGCAGTTCTGCCCTCCCAGGGGACATGTGTCAATGTCTGGAGACATTTTTGGTTGTCATAACTAGGGGTGCTGCAGGCATCTAGTGGGTTAAGGCCAGGGATACCGCTCATCACTGTACAATGTGCAGGACAGCCCTCCCCCCACCATAAAGAATGATCTGGTCCAAATCATCAGTAGTGCTGAGGTTGAAAGACCCCGCTCTAAACTGATGTTCCTTTCCCGGTTGTGCTTCAGAGCCAGTGTTCACATTGGTGGCACTCGTTCTCTTCCTTTTCCCCCTGATTGTTTTGCAGATTGAGAATGGGCTCTGCATCTGTGCAGCCATGCCCAGCAAAGTGGTCATTCTCCGCTACAATGAGAACCTCAGCAAGTACTGCATTCGCAAAGTAAGTCCCTGGCCTCGCCCCGCTGAGCTGGACCCAGCCCTCCCATTCTCCGGGCCGGCTGGTGTGGGGAGCGTGCTGTCTCAGGGAATGGTCTGAGTCTGGTCCCTTCCACCCTGCAGGCCTTCAGCCTGGGGGGACCTCCCTAGAGAGGAAGACCCTCCAGAGCCGCTAGTAGCTGCAGTTTTCCCTCTTGCTTTTCTTCCCCTGTTTGGAAGCCACCTTCCCATCCAGCCCAGTGAATTCAGCCTTTGTTAAGAGAGAAAGTTGGCTGATGGAGGAGACACTTCTTTTGAACCAGTGGAAAAAAAGAAGCAGCTCTCTCTCTCTAAGAAGCCAGCAGTCCTGGGTAGCACTTACCAGAATCTTTCTCAGATTCTAGGGGTTTCTATGAATACAGCCATTTGGAAGAGCCAGTGCTAGCTCTGTTTTGATATGTAATTAGGGAGCTGGTTGTGATCATGACTGCAGTATGGACAAAAGTGTGTGTGTTAGATCATTAAATTTGCCTCACTTTTGGAGAAGGCTGCCTGTTGTCCCTAGACTGAGAATGTTCTACCCATCATAAGCCTGGCTTATTTCAGGTGCTTTCATGATTAGGCCCAAAAGTGAAATGAGGGGTGAATAATGTATAAAAGATATTACCTGCTAGAGAAACTGTTTCATTCTGGGAAGGATGTTGTTAGTTTTGCCTATAATTTGACCTTATTTTCTTAGTTTGGGGTCACATAGAACTATATATAGGAAGAGGTAGCAAATGGATCACAGGTCATCTTGAGAGATGTGAAAAGTGAATAGGCTTTGTGTGACAATGTGACCAACTCTGGTGGCGACTGTCTGCAAGGCTTCAGGTAGAAACAACAGCAGTGGACATGTGGCTGTCCTGAGTTACCTCTCCTTTCCTTCTCTTCCGCCTCCTTGTCTCAGGAGATAGAGACCTCGGAGCCCTGCAGCTGTATCCATTTCACCAATTATAGTATCCTCATTGGAACCAATAAATTCTACGAAATCGACATGAAGCAGTACACGCTTGAGGGTAGGGCCGGTGTCCTCCTCCCTGCCCAACGCATTGCTCAGGCCTTGCTGAGAGTCAGAAATCATTCCTGAAGCCCCACTTCTCACCTGCCTTTACAGAATTCCTGGATAAGAATGATCATTCCTTGGCACCTGCTGTGTTTGCCTCCTCTTCCAACAGTTTCCCCGTCTCCATCGTGCAGGTGAATGGCGCAGGGCAGCGAGAGGAGTACTTGCTGTGCTTCCACGGTGAGTGTGGCGGCGCCTATTCTGGTGCTCATGGTAGCCAGGAATCCCAGATGGGTCCACTGAGCTTTTGGGGGATGGTGAGTGTGGGGCTCTGCAGCAGGGTGCGTCCTGCTGGGTGTGAAGAGAATGTCATTCCAGCACTACCGAGGTCCCCTGGGGATTCTCCTCCCCACCATCAGACACTAGCCTAGTCTAATTCTGTCACATTCTCGCCTTTGCTATTGCTCTCTCTTTGTTGTTTCTCTCTCTCCCTCACCGTCTTTCTCTGGACTTCTTTCTTTTTCTCTTGATGTTTCTCTTTCCTTCTTCTTTTTTTTTTTAATCTGAGTCTGTCTCTGCCTCCCTGTCTCTGGGTCTCTGTCTCTCCCTCTTCCTTCTTGTTTCTTTATTCCCCTGTCTCTCTGTCTCTTCCTCCTTCCTTCTCTCACTTTTTTTCTTATTCTCCTCCTTTTTCTTTAATAAAACTTAACATAGTAAAATTTTTTTTTTAATTTAAAAAACCCCCACATTTTTTAAAACCCCACATTTTTAATAAAACTGA